TGTGTGTGTGTGAGAGAGAGAGAGAGAGAGAGAATATTCTATTTACTAATAATTCTATAATTAAAAATCTTATAATTTAAAAATACATATATGTGTGTACTTACAAGGGTGTTGCGTGATAACACAGATTAAAAGATTTTCTTAACAGGTAACACAAGATTTTCCATAGTATACATTTTTGGAACTTCAATACTTAAAGTGAAATAGATATATGTTTAATATTTGACAAAAGCAGAAGAAAAATTTTTAATACAATCTAATGCGAGAACAAAAAATAGATCTAGAGCGTTTCATTTGATGTTCGCAACGCTCGCGAGCATTATTTTATCCTTATTGTTTCAAATCAAATATCAAGCAAGGATAAAACATTACTGAAGGGTTAGAGAGAGGGGGGGAGGGGGGGAGGAGGTCTGTTCTTTTCCCGAGTGCTGAACTGAATACTGGTGCAGTAAGTTATAGATAACTATAGAGATCGAGATAACTATAGTTTGTTTCACTTTAATTTATTGCATTATTTCAGAACTAACTCAGAATTCTTCGACGAAGAAATTATGGGCCGGTATTCATAGTCCGTTCTTATTTCAAGACCGTATTAAGTACGGTCTTAAGAAGTCACGAACCAATCACATGGCCGTGTTTCAATACATTATTTATAAGACAGTCTTGAAATAAGAACGGACTATGAATACGGGCCATTGTTTTGTTTTCCAGTTACGCGTGACGTATGTACTAGACTCGGTGACGCCGCATGCGCGTTGTTATTCGCGCGCAATGTCCTTACTCACCTTGCTGCTCATTACTGCGACATTCACACGACGAGCTTCAAACAGCAAGGTAGCGTGGCACGAAACCCTTCATTAATTAACGGTTATTTCGGAAAAAGCAACCACGAGCAGTGCGAGTTTGCGAATACGAATGGTAATACGCGTTCGATCTGTACATACAATCAAGATCTGTTCGCGTTGCTTGCACTTTTTGCACTAAGCATCTTCGTTTTTTCTCTTCAAGGCTCGATATATATTGTCACGCTTTAAATGCAAAATTTGAGGGGATTTTAAGCAAACGCGAATAGATCTATAATATGACGGCAGATATTTTTTCATAGTATTGAAACAACGATTCTGTTCGTTGAGAAAGAGACGTAATGCCCAATAATTTATTCGTTACGTAAATGAATCGAGACAACGAAGTTTAGTGATTAATCGTATTTGTCGCATTACTAGTTTTCGAGACACATTTTCAAAAGATTTCGGACTTTTATTCGAATAAATCTGTAGGTGCCGTTTCATGAGCTCAAAAATATCGAGCGTTAAATCGCTCGATTCAAAATTATACGCTACATACATAACGCTACACTTTTTTTCAAACATACATTTTCAATATTAATTTTGATCACATAATTTCTAATTTAATGCTGAAAATGAACACTGAGTACCGCATGAAAAAGCGCCTTTCGATCGATTTCTATCGAGCTAAGGTTGGCATACCTGCTTCTTCTCGGGTAGTGACGAGACGAGTCGCAATTGTCGCAAATACGAAACGGACGACCGACGCGACGAGTGGCGTTCAATTGGTAAATATTATCATAATAACCCCGTTTACGTTTCGCTATTTCGCGATCACGTAATGTAGATTCGACATTCGTGCACTCATTTATCGAAAACCGTTGCTCAGGATTGTATTTTCAATCGACATTCGTCGCACGGGCGGTTAACAAAACAATGACAATCGTATTTCCCGGTATCGCGTTCTATCGTCGACATTTGCTTTTTTTTTCTTTGACTCGTAATACGTTTATTCTCTTTCTATACGAAAATAAACAAAAGTATCCTGAAACGTGAGCGTCGTTCGCTTTTGAAAAGTGTGAAAATTACGTAGAAAAAAAAAACGGCAGCGGTGGCGTCGCGTCGGTATGAAGTTGATCGCGCGTCATCGAATTTTCAAATTCGCCGTCGCGCCGTTCGGCTTCGTTCGGCTTCGTTCGGCTCCCTTCGAGTCTGGTCGTATTATAACGTGTCGTAGCGGCGATTCGACGAAGCGTCATCCCGCGTCTTTTATACTTCTTTCGCGTGTTCTCGCGTTGTCTTATCGTTGTGAAGTCGCGAAAAGTGTCGCACGATCGTATAATTAATCACAAGTTACTGTGACTGATCTCGCGCGTCCTGAATTCGTCGTGAAGTCCGTCATGAAATATTCTGTTGTCGTGAAGTCTCGTCGCGTGTGGAAGTGTCGTGAAAAGTAAGTGTCGTAAGTCGCGCGATCGTAATTATTTAGTTAACGCGAGTGATTCTCGGGAGTGTCGTATAAAGTATCAAGCAGATGATTGTGTATCTTGAAATGAAGTGAAAATTATAAGCGTGAGCAAATTCGCTAGAATATTCATAATTTTATTAGTCAACGAGTCTGTTCAATTTTGTAATTTTTACTTCGTTTTATAAAGTACATAATTGGCATCCAAAACACGAGTCACCATATCAAAATGATCACTAAAAGTTTTTTTCAATCAGTTATGATTCATTTTAACATATAATAATTCTGATATTATCATGACTTGTTCTGCTTGAATACTGTGCGGTCGCCATATTTGGACAGTGCGTGCCATGCAAAAGCCATCTGAAGTGTCTTCCAAAACTCGATTTTGTCTCAACTCCGAGTATCTTTTTTTCTTGTTTAACATTTGGTGAACAACAAGGATAAAATCATACTCGGATTGACTGAGAGTCGAGTTTTGAAACATACATTTGGGAAGCTGAGTGGAGGAGGAGAGCCGGGGAGGCATCAGGTGCCGGCGGAGCAGCCCTGGGTGAGTGATTTATTATTACACATATTTTTTCTGATATTCT